GCAGTAATCACCCGTATTGGACGTGGTAACATTTCTCGATACAGGTTAGCATCCTGCTGAAGCTTCTGTTAAGGGCCAATTTTGCGCTGGAGGTGTACTACGCGGAAAGAGAACAGCGTCAACCGCCAACACCATTTGAACTGCAGTGTTATCCCTCAATGGAATCTAAAATGCCGCAGAAAAGTGGGGGCAACCGGTCTACTTGAAAATCATCCACTACTGTTCTTTTGTCTGATCTGTCGAATAGGTAGTGACACATTCTAAGAACCCTTATAATTTCATGTTTTCGTTTAAGTGTTTTGGTACACATGGCTTTTTTCGACTGCAAACTTCGTGCAGCCTGTAGACGGTCAATCCTCATAACTGACCATCTACCACCTTCCTGAAGGCTACAGATCCAAAAAGGTCCAAAAACCAACTAACAAGGCGAAGTCTACACTTCTATCGAAAAGATATATGGTCGGTAAACACGGTTGTATTTACATGATCCTCTTCGCCAAGTACAAGTACACGGTCCCTACAGCTGAAGAGATGACTTCGCCAGCTTATTTAGCCCGTTAGTTACCCCGGACGTCGTTGCCAGGACACACACAATGCTTCGCCAACAGAGCTTACCCGAAATGGGGTAGCCATGGTCACATTGAACCATGAGGTTTCAGAGTTTCGAACTATAGAAGCTCCGTTTTAAGTTTGATGGGAAATCTGATGTCTCAGTTGAAAACGAATGAACGTGGGTTGTTGAGCTTGGATTCTCCGGGCTGAACTGATTGGAACAGTATAATGACCATTACATGTGCATACGATCATACACAGGTCTGGCTCAGAAGCAGTACGGAACGAACTCACAGTCGCTTGTTCTACGCCCTTGTCCATTTAACCACAGTAACAAAAATATGAAGCGGCTTCTTTGAGAAAAGCACGAATGCACAAAACAACCCAAGTAACAGTTGTTGACTGATTCTCTACAATCTTAACATATTAGCAGCGGTTATTCACTCGGACGAGTGTAGTCGAGCCTACCAAAAACAGTCCACGTTGTATACCAGAAGAAGCACGTGCGAAAGCTACATTATATAGAAACGGGAGCGACATTATGCGGCTCAGTGAACGGTCTAGTTAGCTGCAACCGGAGAAAACGACGGGAGTTATCATAAATACTGGGTTATGTGGATCTTGAAGTGCAACAAAACAACCGGCTACAACACTATTGAGTTTCGCAGAGAAACCACTTTGGGAACGAAGATGGATATTGCAATCAGAGGTCCTTCTTGAGAGAACGCATATAAGGACCTGAACTGATACAATCAGAATTGGTCAGAGAGGAGTATGAGGGATGTATTTAAGATAAGTTTGTCCGCTCACCCGTTCCAATACGCAGGATGCGATATAACTGAACTGATGCAAGACAAAAACAGGAATAGTGGAAGGGCCCGAGACACTGTTTTCGTGGAATAAACAATCCCCAGTGATTTGACAAGAACCATTGTAAAGATTTATGCACGGTTTACAAATTACTGATCGGGAGCTCTATGAACAGAGGGCTGAAGCCGAGTACACACACATACTAATCTATCACAATGCAGTATGAAAAAGTCGGGGGTAAAAAGCATAGGAGACTTTGGTGATAGTGAAAGAACATCAATAACTGTTCTGCCGATGGTCAGACGGAAGAATGGTTCATGGGTTAGTTGGAATTTATTCACTTCGAGTGATCAGGAATAAGTGCGCCAGAGTCGGGTTTCCTGGCAGACTGATGCGGCTCCACCGAAATTTCATTCAGAAGACCTAATCAAAAGAATCTCTTCCCACAAAGACGTGTTTTATCTCTGTACAAGGTGACCATAGCTCAGTACGAATAGATGAGGAATAAACTGTACAGAGGGGTTGAATTAGATGCAAGTTTAACACGCCCATAATCAGTACCTGAAACACCTAAGAAAATCGCTTCCGAATAGCTCAGTGGCTATTTTTCAGTTATTCTAATTGAATTGTGTGCGCCGGTCATCTTGGATGGCTATCCCTCAGTAGACATGCTACCTGGATTATCATTATATTCAATCTGCACAATAACTAGCTGCTTTCACCCACTACATTACAGTCTAGATATTTTCAAGAAGTTTGATGTAAAGTTCCTACATGGTCTCGAGGTAACCGGCAAAGGTCTTGATCACACAACAAAGAGTTGCGTTTATCGGATTAGTTAATGCGACCGTCAGGCAAATAGCTAATGATATCAGGAGCTAGGTACTGGAGTGAAGTCCTCGATTCAAACACTCACTGTAACCAGACACCACGATAATCATTAGAAACAAATATGAATGAACCCTCAAGCGGGTCACATACATGAACGATGCCAGGAAGGGCGGCGACATTTCCGATTTGCTTCATACCCGGCAGAAAACCACCAAAATCACCACTTCTTGTGAAGTTCCGAAGTTCATCAAACATAAGCTTCTCCAGAAAGTCATTAACATAGAAGACACCCTCGACCTGAAAGTTCATTGCCTTGGAATACGAAGTCTGACTTACATTCATGTTTGGTACAAAACCTTTCTTAATTTTCCAACACGTCGGGGTGATTTTTTCAAGAAACTTGAGCTCTTCTTCGTACGTCCGAGGCATGGCAATCGACTATGTGTATCAAGAAAATGCGGAGAACTTGAAAGTACACTCCAAAGAGAATCTACAAACGAAAGATGAAAACTATATACGTAGTCAGCGACTACCAACGGTACGCGAGAGCATATGAACTAAAAGTTATCAAAAAGGTACCGAAAGTTGGACAACAGTTTGGATAGAGATCGGTGGAAGTGATTATCAATCAAACATTTTCAGTTCTGATAAGCACTGTTGTACATATCAAGCATTTCAGCGATAACGGACCTACAAGGGTATCAGACGGAAAATGCGTCTCCTCACCACCAATTTCATGTCATTTTTAGTCCGATTCTTCAATATTTGCACTATTACCCGCGATGAAAAGTAGGAGGACGGTAGGGAGATTTCACAATGGCTTGATCTATCATTACAACAGGAGTTGGGAATGCCATAGATACTAAGGAGAACAAAAGCCGGTTGCCTTATCTATGCAATCGACCAACCAATGCCATTGATGGGTTGGGCCTAGGCTAAGAAGGCATGTACCATCCATACATAAGTAGTGTAAACAATAGGATAACAAACATGGCTTTCCTTTGACAAGCAGTTAGTCTCCGCAGTGATCAAAAGTGCATCAAGTCCAGTCTTCACCATACCTCAGTTCGGTTCAGTTTGACAACTAAACCGTCTGTGTTGCGTGGACCAGAACAGTACTGTGTGTGGAAGTGGATAGTGTAAGATGAAGAGGGATTTCACGCACAGGAAACCAAAAGTTAAGAATGATAGCTGGTTAGTGATTGAAAATGAGCAAATGGCTGAGAGTTGTGGTCTTTGGAAGCAGAGTTGTGATAACTTTCGCTAAGTGTCGACTTTAATCTGCAGTCGAACGATCGCCAGGTTGCAATGTTCGGCATGCTGTAGGAGGCGGCGCGAGTGACAGAAGACCCTAATGACCCACTCATATTTATCAAGCTTGGGAATTCCCGTATGGGATAAGTCAACGAAATTTTTGAACGGTTTCGATTCTTCTGATGAGGACAGAAGCCTGATGAATCCATTGATCAGTCAAGAAAAGGTCAAAACTTACTACGTGTGGCGCTTTGCGCGCCTACATGACCCAATGAAACATACTGGGGAGAGTGCGTGTGCCCCTCATACCAAGTTGGTCAATGGGTAGAGGTCTCCCTAAGTCTCCTGGACTTCCAGGTTTCAGTTTGGAACATGTGTGGTAACTTGCTTGTTAAAAATGTAGATTCCTGTGGTGATCTCCCGCCAGCAACCACTGCCTTGTGGTGGTCGAGCATCAGTGCTGCAATGATCCCGCGGACTAAACTAGCTGGAACGCCGTTTCTTAGGTTTCAGCTATGCCAAGAAGACCAACGGGGAACAGCGAACCCCCGTAATGCGAAGAATCATAGTCGCGCGGAGGTGCCGTCGTACAGTCATCTGCGACAAGAGTGTCGGTGCAATAAGGTGTTTGATTCAAACAGCGGTGCTGCCTTCCTCCGAGGAATGATGGCTAGGAAAGGTCAGTCCTAAAAACTCGCACTCGGATCCCTCAACCGCTAACTGCAACCGCCACCACATTCTCCCTCATCATCATCGACAGCATGAGATTAGTGTTCAACACTGACGTCTTACTTGAAAGCCTTATTGTGAAAATAATAAAAATGACGAGGAGGAGGCTTAGTGCCAGCTTACTACAATCACCTCTAAACACACACTCAGGCAATCTGGATAGAAAATGACAACGAGAACGCCATTTGCATCGAGTAGCAGCCATATCTTGCAGTGCCTCCAAGCAGGCGCGCTGGGGATCACACAACCCTCATCCTGGAAGGCGAGTAACATCGATAGAACTCAAAAGTTTCGTAATTTCTTTCACAACCTTGTGCCAGGTAAAGCGTTGGCCACCTCTCTCCGTCCACCATTCTGAACTGGGAACGGAAAATAGCACTCTCTTTGACAAACGATGGTTCGGCATACGAAATACATGGCCTAACTAGCGCAGCTTCTGCTGCTGGACACATTCTTCAGTGGAAGTACCCGTCGCACAGCCGAAAACCCGCTTTCCAACTGCTTCGTTACGGACACGCCGACACCAACCCAGATGGGATAACGATGTCGGACACCCAAAGACGCTCGAACAGGCCAATTCTCACAGCCACACATTAAAACAGCCCGCACAGTGGCTTGATACACTTGCCCCTTGAGATTCAGAGATACACCACTTTGACGGCATAGGTGTCTTAAATTAGCAAACGCAACCCGAGGCTTGCAGATTCGTGCACTTACCTCATCTGTCACAACACAATCAGATCTAATACAACTTCCTAAACGCTCAACTTCTAGTGTCTCCCTCTGGACTGTAAGCAGCGTGTCCAAGGACCGAGTGTCCAGGAGAATGACCTTACCCACAAAGTTTTGTGGGCGCAAAGTGCATACCAAAGGATGGGATGACTTTGGTCAAGTTGGCCAAAAACACTCGCGCCTCCTCTTCGAAGACGGGAAAGATGGCGTCTGCACATCACAGGCTATTCGAACACTGGGGATTTGAGAACCTTCCATCATTCGTCTCTCATCAATTACAAAAATAAACATGAATGGAGAGAGCCGAAGCCACTTACGGACATGGCCTTTTGTACAGAACCTTTAGGAGAGTTTGTGTACTCTCACATGCCCTGAAGTCTGAGGATGCAAATAACTTATTGCTTTCACAAACCTCCGAGGAATCCTTTGCTAGGCAGTGAGTCTAAAACGCGCCTAGGAAACCCAGTAATACTAAGATTGTGGACCGTTCATACGCGCTGCATTGTTCTAGCACTTGACGGAGTGTGAACACTTGGTTAACGCAACTCCTACCGGGACGAATTCGTCCTGCTGGCTGCTTTCGAGTCAGCGTTCCACAAGCCACTATTAGACGACATATCAGAAGTCACGCCAACAGTCTAGTTACAATCGGGGTCCAGCTGATACACCTGTAGTGACCTGTCCGGAGGCCAGCCGAACCTAATGACTGGACACCACAACAATTGTACGGATGCGTCACGTGCGGGCTACGGACCAAACGAAGGCATGACCTGATTGGTCAGAATGCCGCCAATCTGAATCGAGCACCTTTGGCTCGGCGTTTCTCCCCCCACACGGAGATTCCAAAGCGAACTCGTGGGACATCCTGTAATTGACCTATAAATACAGTTGTAATAATTTTAGTTTGGCTCCATAAAGGGCTGTCTGAAGCTACCACGCCTTTTGATATGCCATAGTGGGCAATGCAGAAAGCCAAGGACCGATGCAGATTTGCACGAGTGTTCAGCAAGTCACAACAGTGCCCCACTCAGTGCGAGCAATTTTTTGAAAATGTGCGTTGTCAACGACTCCCTAAAGTCGTCTGAGACATTCGCTTTTCCAAAAATGCAGTTCACAGATTAGACAAGCACGGATTCACGGCTTGATACATAGGATCGGGGCTTTTGCCCAAGTTTCCCGGGTCGGTTTTGTTCTTGTCGGTCAGTGGCTGTCGTTCATCATGCATTACTGTACACGGCAGGGAACCGAATAGCGCTGAATGAAGGAGTTACCCCGATCTTTGAACAATTCACGTGAGAGGTTATCCGGACCAGAAGATCGACGGCGCTTGAGGGACATGTGCGGTTGAAAACCTACGAGGATGCAGGTGGTTCCATGTTCACCATGTAACGTTCTACGTCAGCATCGGGCCCAGCATGAGTGGCAACAGGTGGCCACGAATTACTTGGCCCAACGGTGGAGGCGCGGAAGCCTCTGGATCATTAGAGGTGCGCAGCCGGGAGCGAGTAGAGAGTGATGGGACACTCAGCTCAACCACTGCGCTTGCATCTTGAAATCTTAGTTCTGACAGAGGATACATCCATGACACGCAAGTTCAGTTTGAGAGCAAGAGCAGCTTGTCCTGCTTGCTTCAGAGCGCGGACGTTGAAGACAGCTAGATCAACTGGGCACCGAGGTTTGAAGATTGATTTCGAGAGGCCTGAGTAAGTTGGTGCTGGATACATTGCTTGAATAACCGGTGAAGGACAAGCGGTGTCATCAGTTCTGACTGCTGAACCCTCTAGGAGAGCTATTGCTGGGGCAATGACAGAGGGAAAAATCATTCAAAGGAGAAAGAAGTTAGGCGTCAGTAGTAGCCCGTTTTCGCCTACCCACTCTTTTATGTGTAGCAAGTAAGGAGACTCGGCTGATGGCAACATGCGACGGTCGGTGCGGCCTGAAAGTAATGCTTGTAGCAACTATCGTTGATGTACGTGGTCCGGGACCCCAAGAGGACGATTAGGTAATCAACCAAAGCCTTTTGCTCAAAAAACCTGAATTCATTACAGCGAAGTTTGATGGAAAACGTAAATGCATTACCATTTTTGGAGAACAAGTTGATATGCATGTTCTAACTCCCAAAGCGGAGGCCCAGGAGACTGTGCTCTTCTGAGCCCTAACCACTGACTAACCTGATGCGAGAGACTGCGGGTGTCGTAAGGATGCCACCATGTATAGCTCAGTGTGTCACGGAGGTACGCAAACCTTCACACCACGGCATGGTCCAATCTCTATGGCTTCAATTCTGCCTTCAAGCCGATTTCATCATCAGCGTGACTGCTCCCGGTTATGTTTCAGCAAGAACAGCTCGGTATCATTGGGAAACTGAAACTTGTCGAGGTCAATATACAAAATCGCTGTTCTGCAGCACATGTTATGCTGAGGGTTAGGTGGGTGCTTGTGGAAAACTTTGCATACATCGGTAATTGTATTAGCTCTGACGGAAACGTGTCTGATATCGGAGACCAGAATAATGCATCCTGATTTACGTAATTTGTGGCGTCAAATAGGCATGTCACTGGGTTCTAGGGGTCACACGTACCAGGATACATTAAGAGATTTTTGGTTGTATGGTTGCGAGACATGGCCTCTGCGGACACATGTAAGGCGTCATCAGTTTCTGGAATTCGACAAATTCTGTTGGTTGCATGGCAGTGAAGTATCAGCGTCAACATTGATGTTGCTGTCTCCGGTGATGATGGTGAGGGAAAGAGGCCGTTTTCTCAACTTTTAAAACCGTCTGCCCAATTCTATCCGACCAAACTCATGGACACTAGGTATCAGAGAGATCAGCAGGACTGAGGTTTGCCAAATAGTCACAGCAAAACTACTGGCAACAGTCGCCCCCTTAAAAAACAGGTAACCAACAGCCTGAAGGATGACGTAGAAGGATGATGGACTGAGGAGGCTTTCATTGTGAGCCATAGCCGCGTTCTGTTTCGGCTATCACTCAACTGTTCAAAAAGAGCACGCAAGCAAAATAACGAAGAAGAAAGTTGAAACGGGCAATCACCTGCAAAATCACCCTCTTAAGCGAAGAACTGAATAGCCTGAAGATCAGTTTAGCTGGTCTACTTCGGGGGCATCGCTGAACGAACCCAACAAGCCTGAACGAAATATAGTCACCAGCTTGCCGTCAGAAACGGCGATCCACCGTAAAATACCGCTTCCTCAGGAGGAAAAGGCATAAGGCCGAATGGTTTTCACGCCACGGGTTTCAAAGAAGGTAGGGAAACACTTGTGAGCGGTCTGACGAATCTGATACGGTGTATTTGGGATGAAAATTGCGGCGGTGCAATTCACAGTTCTTTATGGATAAAAAACGGGGATCATACACACAGAGGATTTACAAAAATGCAAGTGTTTGGTAATCGGTGTCTCCGAAACACCGGCCGCCTCTGGTGGGAACATCGGGTAAGTGATGTTGAGGCATGTTAGTTGGTTTATGAAACAAGAACTCTCCTTCGTCAGATAAGCCACTCACGCTCCATAGGTTTCGCTGGTTGGACTATATACTTTGTAAGCCAGAATCTGCTTTACAGAGCTTTTACTTGGCACCTCTTCGAGTGGAATCAACAGAGGGGTGGGCAGACTATGACACGCCAACGAAGTGTGGAGGCACCAGCAAGTAATACGGTTAAAATCTATCGTCTCCTTTGTTGGGGACCTTGAGACCGAAATCATCAAGGGTTAACTAAGCGGATAAACGGGTCGAATTTACGCAGTCAGTAAGCTTTGACATATAAGCATTCAGCGCGCAGCTGCAAAATTATACGTTCCACCAGAGCACTAGATAATACGAAGTAACTGATCCCAGCATCAGCTTCAATGCCTGACTACATTCTCAGTTCCCTCCCGTTTTCCGGTAACCCGAATTATAGCCTCTCGACCTGGTCAAACCGACAGTATCCTGGCCTTCGTGCTTCCTTCGGGTGGCGTGGCAGTTAGGCACAGAAAGGGTGCTACAGCTGAATGTTCTTTTACATTGTAGCGGCAAGAACCAACCTACCACTGCTGCGTGTTTTATAGCCGATAAACCGAACTGCGCTGAACCTTGTGATGTCGCACATAGTCCAGGTAGCCTGTAGCGGTCTGTTTTATAGGGGCTGTTAAAATCATCTTCTGGCCATTCATTCAAAATAGCTGGTAAGCTGAAATGTTGGAGCTGCTCGCGTCCAATCTGGTGGTTACTCCATTGGAAAGTACCCGTTAGTTGCCCGTGTGGCGGGGTGTTTTCGTGTTTTGTCGCAGTTATTTATTAGAAAATGCCATCTGAACAGTTACAGACTATTAAACAGGAAAGCAAAAATCTCATATGCACGTTATTCATAAAAATTGAATACCCATCTTCTCTTTTAACGCGTCTATCTGGACTTCCCTTTATATTCATTGACTGTTGCTCAAATCCAAGGAAATGCTTCAAAGCGGTCCCACAAATTCCACAATGGATCTCACTTTTCAAGAAGCGCAAAGCGGATTTACAAGAAAACATATTACTTGCATGCCTCCTTCATCAGTGGTATCACCGTTAAATCATAGGACCCAAGTGCTAACAATGAAGCCGATATCCGTTGTGCTATCACCGGGTGTGCGCCTGAATAGCACATGATATTGCTTCAGCAAGTGTGGCCGTGCAAAATGCTTATGAATACAGGGGAAGCAGCGGGTGTTTTTGAGATTTTGCCCATGTGCGCCACCTGTGGTTGGACGTAAAAAAATATATATAATACAAGTAATGCCACTGGCCTGGCATCAGATTTGCGGGTTGCACTTTTCCCTTATTCACTTGGATTCGAACCTGAGAGCTACAAGTTCCACGTGGTTGCAGGCGCTTATGAGTCAGATTATTGGCGTTTGCCCGTCACACCATATTGTCTTGCAACTAATCGGTCTGCATCTGCTTAGCTGGGATGCTACTCATGAAGCATGTGATTATTTCATGTATGGGAATAACAGCGCACTTCCATCGACTAAATTGATGAAGCACTTCTGGCAAGGACTGTGTGTATCTTTTGGCAACATTTTTTCGTGTACAGGCATGACTGTAAGTCAACCACCTTGAAATAACACTCAACTCGCTGCTCCAGGTCTGTCATCAATCAGGTAGGCTTCGGCCGCCAACTTTGCCTTTAAAGTTAAGACCGCTGGTGTGGTTGGGCGCAGTGTTGAAAATTCTCCTTGCCAATATTATTTCCGAAACAAACAAGTAAAGGCGGTGGTTTAGCTCTTTAGGTCTTAGGATTTTCGAACCTTAGACATGACGCAACGAGGTCTGTGGCGTTATACTAGCTGACGCTTGGAGGAACCCGTAGTATATCTTTGGATGTAACACCCTTGGTCCAAAATGAATACTCCTCCAATGAAGCAGAAGAACAGCATGCTTTGCAAAATGCGCCCTGCTGCTAGAAATTGTCCAGCGTATGTCACTGGAGGGCTTCAAAACACCCATGGAGATGGGTTAGTGTTAGGTTCATAATTTTGCCAATAAATCATTGTATAATGGAATTACTTGTTTGCGACATCCATCAGCGAGAGAAGCACACGGAAATGTCCCACCTGCCAAAGTCAACAAAAAGAGGGCTTCGGATTCTCAAAGAATTAGAGCGAAGTGTCAAAATTCGTAAAACGTCCTGCGTGGTTGGCAAATCAGTGTACACGGATAATGACGATACCGCAAAATGCTACAGTCCTTCCAAATATATACGCATCCAACTATTTAGGTGGGTAAACAGCGCTATCTAAAGAGATTTTGTTATATTTCTCTGCTTGAAGACACGCGTCGTGCACAGTGAATTGGCCGATGTCTTTGATACGTTTGATCGGGTGCATTAGTGTTCCAGAGGATATATTCAACGACAGCGGGAACAAAATTGCTCGCAGTGAACGAAAATAATCACCGATAATTCAGAGCATGCATTTGAACAGGGTAGTACTATGCGTGACGGGGTGCAAAATACCCTAGCAGTTTGATCTTCAGGCATTTAGTCACAGAGGAGGCAGTTGTTTGCATCTAATGGTGGGCTGCGTTGCTACCCTCGACTTTGTAGATGCCGTGTACATTTGTTTTCTGGTCCGTTCGCTAATGATATTGCGTTCTAGTTTTGCCGACATTTCAATTCGCTTTATCTTTAGCAGCTTCTGTGGCTTTGTTTGGTTATTTTCTTCGAATATTGAGTTCTGTTGCATGACGTTAAACATTCCAAATACGTGATAACACAGGGCTTGTTGCGCGAGCAGAATATATGGCCTTGTTGCCACATCTCAGATCAGTGGGCAATCGAATGACAGTTATTCGATTAAGGGTAGGTACCCAAAGATCAAAGTGAGAATCAAAGAATGGTTTCAAGTAACTGTTACCAACGCGGCCTCGGGGCTTAGTGTGGCCTTTTTTGATCTGGTGTCAGTCAGTTCTCCTAATTTTTAGTTACAACTCATTAATCATTCGGCATAAGAAGGCGGTCAAATTAAACAGATTAATGCAGGGAACATCAGCATAAAAACTGAAAAGCAGATTTTCTTAGAAAGGTTCCTTTCATGTCA